GAGGCGAGGGAGAGGGAGAAGGAACTTATATGTGAAACAAGCCTGTTCCCTAACTTGAATTAATACAAAAACAAAACTAAATTAATTCCTAAGAAAAGAATTTTTGTAAACACTTTAAAGTTTTTATTTTTTAAAGATATATTTATTTTTATTTTATGGGTATGGGCCTTTTGCCACTATGTTCGTATGTATGTGTGTATGTAGGTATGTATTTATGTATGTATTTATGTATGTATGTATGCATGCATGCATGCATACCACACGCATGTCTGGTGTTTATGGAGGCCACAAGAGGGCATCAGATCCCTGGAACTGGATTTCGAGACAGCTGTGAACTGGGACATGCCACATGGATGCTGAGAACTGAACCTGGATCCTGCACAAGAGCATTAAGTGTTGTTAACCGCTGAGCCATCTCACCAGAGCCTCATTTTTTGTTTCTAATCATGTGCATATGTGTGTAGGGGTATGTGCATGTGTGTGGTGTCCACAGAAGCTAGAAAGATGACATCAGATCATCTGGAGCTAGATCTGCAGGAGGTTGTGAGCCACCTGATGTGAATAATGGAACTGAATTTAGGGTCTCTGTAAAGTTAGTGTGCATTTTTGTTTGTTTTGGCTTTTTGAGAGACAGTTGTTATGTGTAGTCCTGGCTATCCTGGAACTCACTCTGTAGACCAGGCTGGCTTTGAACTCAGGGATCTGCCTGCCTCAGACTCCCAAGTGCTGGGATTAAAGGTGTGGAATACCACACCTGGCTAGTATGCATTCTTAACCACTGAGCTATCTCTAGACCCCCTAATTCATAACCAATTCCCAGATCACAGAAAGATTACAGACATTTGGCTACTAGGCAACGATAGGTACCTGCCAGCAAGTATGAGGAGATTTTCTTTCCAAGATGTACTGAGTTAAGGGAGAGGGTTCAAGTTCATATTTGTCAAAGGGCAGTTTATCTATAACCATTGGTTCACAATCGACACAGGAAAACCTCACAATAGGATGAGATGTTCGTGGAGGCTAAAAAAAAGAAGGAAATATGATTGGATATTAAGCAAGCTTACAATTCTCTAACAATTCTAAAAGCTCTGTTACATTTTTGTTAAACCATCACTAAGACATAGATAGTAGTATTTGAAGAGTTTCTAGAGCTTTAAGACTCAGCATGGGGGGGGGTCTCAAGCTCTTCACCTCTAACCTCTACTTAGGATTGGGAAGAGGGAAGATAAGGTAATACAGAGCTAGAATTTCAATGAAATAATAACTGTATTAATTATGTTAAAGTAACCCTTGTGGTCCATAGGATGAACTCTCACTTTCAAATCCGTTTTGTGACCTTTAAGCATTCCCCGTGCACCAATCTTCTGTATCATAAGGTTAGATCATCGAGATACCACTGGACAAAGAGATTCTTTGAACTTTTCTAATGTGCTCAAGCTACTAAGAAGAAAAAGGAAAAACAGCAAGGGTATGGAAGGCTAAGATACACAATGACAATAATTTGGTCACAACTACAGAGCCTTAAAGGAATTTTATAGCACTGCTCATACCCACATGTTTGTTTTGAATAGCTGAAGCTGAGAGCTTTGGTAACACTTCAAAGGCCTATGTGTTTGGGGTACCACAGCAGATCAATGGAGATTTTAACACTAGGTTTGTATAACTAGAAAACACCACAGAGAAAGGAGAGAAAGGGCTGAGATATGATGAAATGATGAAAATGGCTGGCTTTCTTTATGAAAAGGGGAAACAAATGTATTTGGCTTTACTGTTTATAAACTTGTAAGATGTTTGAGAGTTGACAAAAATGGCTCTCCAGTGAACTACTACATGTGGGGGAATGGTAACACAAACTGTGTATAAATTACTGGAATTTCCATAATTCTAGCTTTCCCTTATTTCAGTTTTAATCAGTCTTGTGAATTGTTTCTGATTTCTTAGATCCAAATATCTTAAAAAAATTGATAAACGCCTAAGTGAAACCTCAAAGCTAACAATAATGTAATAAATCTACCACTAAAGGGGTTTGAAGGGGCTATGGGCTGGCAGGTTTGCCACCTTGGAGCCCTGGGGGAGAGAAGAGGAATATTTTCCCTCACACAGAAGGGGCCTAAAAGGTGCCTGGTTCTTTGAGCCTTTCATGACTACTCTTGCAAATATAAGAACCCAAACTGGTAGCCTGGGAGAAAATGCAGTTCAATGTGGAGATTTCTAGAACCTAAAATACAAATTAACTTGAGAAGATCAACGATATATTTGTACCCCCCATCCCTAGCCCCAAACCACACATGAACTACTCAGGCTTTCCTTCCTTAAGGATACTGTTTCCTACAACCTTCTGTTTTTCCTAAACACTATCCCCCAAAAAAGCCAACTTATCTGGTGCTAAGAGTAACTATAGCATCCAAACTTATTTTACCAAATGCAGATACCAAAAGACAAACCTTTGCTTAGGGATAATTTTTTGAGCACTACATAATTACTAATGATTGAAAAGTAAAATGGCTCACCAGGGCATGACTATAGGTAATTAGGAAGCTGAGTGAGGAGGACTGTGAGTGAGTTCAAAGCCAGCCTGAGGTACAATGTGAGAGAGAGCCAATCTTAAGTAAAAAATGTGAATGCATATGATACAGAAGTGCCTTGATTAAAAACATGGAATCAACACAGATGTCTATCAATAGATGAATAAATGATGAAAACAAACATATGCATAATGGAATTTCAGCCATAAAAATAAATTTGACAAATCTGTAGGATAACGAGTACAACTCATAAACACTTTACTAAGCAAGATAACTCAGGCTCAGAAAGAGATTATGTTTTCTCTCATATGTGGATCCTAATTTGTAATGGTTAAATATGTATATCTAGATGAGAGAAAAGGTAGGGAAAGGCCAGGAAACTAGAAGGGGTACCATCAGATGGGGAAAAAACAGGTTTTAAAGAAGTGAGGTGAAGAAGGCAACAGAATACATGAGTTATTAAAACAGAAAGGGGCAAAAGGCTAACATGGGGAAAGGGCAAACAGAGAGGGAGACTCAACCAAAATGGAGCATGTATGAAATCCCTGTAAGAAAACCTGTTACTTTGTAAGCTAATTTCGAAAAATGAATAATATAAGGTAATTGAAAGGAAATACCAAGTAAGAAATGAAAGTGTTTCTAAATAGAATTGCACATATTTTTACCTGTACTTCCCTTCAAGGACAGTAGACAGCTATTTGCTTACAGTTTTCTCTTACTTTCATCCTTGAGAGAAGCTGCCAACTGCCCATTTTTACATTTTCATGCCTTAAAGCAATATTTTCTGTAAGAACTAGTCTTCCATTATTTTTCCATTTTATTGTCCACAATAAAAATAATGACATATTCAGTATAGGCCTAGAAAGTATGAAGCCCTAAGTTCACCTCCCAGTATTGCAATGAAGGAAAACAAGAAAAGCAAACACTACATAAATAATATGAATGTTACTTGGAAAAACATACCTTTTAGGAGGGAGAAAATATTAAAATAATGCTCTCCTAATTTGCTTTCAAACACATCAAAATAGCCATATTCAAAATAACTTCCTATATAAACTATAAAAATACTTCAAACTTTGGTTACCCACACACACTAAATAAATGTAAAAAAAAAAAATTGAACAAAAGCAATGCTTTAACATCCATATGGCAAAGTCAACAGTACAAAAGACTAAAAAGTCTGATAAAATAAAGGACATTTTCCTCCACTGCTTTGAGGTATAGAACTAGCCCTTTCGATAAAAGATGAAAAACAAAACAGAGGGGTCTACTTGCCTGTGGAACAGCTTAAAAGCCTTAAGTTATTTTAAAAACTTCACTGTCATATAATTAAAAACCCAGGTGAGTGTTTACCCTTTTCATTTATAATACTTACTAGTGAAGGCAAATTCTGTTCTGGCCAAAAAGATTCTGGAATT